TAATCGTTCATATTTTGACGATATTTATTTCTGGATGAGATCTACGTATCTCACATATATACATATATTTACATAATAGTTACAAGGATGTCTATGTTTAACAGTTTAATCACTTATTTAATCGCACCGATCACGCTATGAAATTTCTTTAAATTTTATTGATATGTTTTATAAAATAAAGATTTATAGAGTAGGAAATATGCATGATTTTATATATGTTTAATTGAATTGAAAGTTAAAATTCAGTTCGAAGGCTTAATTTAAAATTTAAAATTTTAACGTAAGTTTTATTTTAGAAAATTATTAAAAAGTTTAAACCATGCATATTTTCTTTTAAAGCAACTATATTTAAGTAGTTAAACTTAGAATTATTCTTAAATACCTGCAAGTTGTTTGATATCTTTGGAATATAATTAACATTTATATTATTCAAATATCAGATTTTTGGAAGAGTTTTGATCCCTTGGGAGCAAGTGATGGAAGCAAGTGATATATTCAACATTTCGAATCCTGAAAAATATTTTTTTTAATTATACCAAACTTTATATATTGTTGCAATATTTGCATATTACGTGGATAAAAAGGCATTTTTAGAAAAAAATGGATTTATATTTGTTAAGATATGCTGTGAAAGATAGGATTAATAAACATTATATAAGTAATCTGTAAGTAAACAAAATTGAAAGTTAAGCATTGATACAACTTTTTGCTCCTCGACTGAGTGGATGTATGGTTGTTATGAAGAAGTTTTTATACATGTTGAAAATATGTCAATTTCAATATTTAGATATTTAGATGTCCGAATTTTTGTATACCCGAAATTTAGTAAGTTACGAGAACTGGAATAACTCACAAATAGTAATGAAGGATAGCAATATTCAAACCTAAGAGCCTAAAATAGTGCTTGTTGATGAAGACTGAAAGACACTTTCTTAGTGGTAATTAGTATTGAAGAAGTTGTTAATCAAAATCTGTTTGTCCAACATCTCTAAAATAGGCTCAACTTAATCAAATCAATGTATTAATAATAATAAAATTGGTACTCACATAAAGTTGTTTTTACATTTTTTACAAATCTACAATCAATGTGACCCAGTCTGAAATAATTTGAATATGATTAATGTTTTTTTTCTTTATAATTCTCAGTTAAAAATTAAAGTGAGATTTAAACAATGATGGTGGTTGATTCTTCAAAAAACACTTATTCTAGTTTTTATTATCAGGACGAGAACTAATGTAATAACGTGCTTGTTTAATTTAGTAAACATCAAAATAAATCAGATTTATATAAGTCAACACTTGAATTCCATATTTTTTGACAATGGAGATAATTTCAAATAATGTGATATTGAAAATGATTCAATTGTCTATTTGGCGGATGTAAAATATTGTAGTTTTATCTTTTGTTTTTATATATCTGTAGCAAAATTTATATATATATTATATTTTTTTAGATTTGAAGGGGATTTAAATGAGTTGCGGCAAAGGATTTACATACATATTATTTTTGCGTTCTTTAGATAAGGTATTAATTATTTAGTATTTTTAGTTATAATCATTATTTGGAAATGATAGAATCATTATTTGCAAAGCGAATAAAAATCTCAGCTAAAACTCACATTTAAGTATATGTAATGCAATCAGTTTTGTCTATAGATTATTAAGATTTTGGTAAAATGGATGGTGCGGTTGTAACACTGAGCAAGGAGATGAATCAACCTTTGAAAAAATGGACCCGTAAAATTGGCAATGCGACTTTATATAAAGAGGATGAAAGTAAAATATTCTTGCATTTGATAAAAGTTTTATAAAATACTAAAAATTAACTATTTTTTTCAAGTGCCTAAGGATTTACAATATAAGCATACGCTATCATAATTTGACAAACATATATTGTGTTCTATCTTATATTTATATAATATTAAATAATTTACAGAGAAAATTGTTAGTTCTGATACTAGCAGCGGACAAGCTTCTTCTGGTGGTGGTTGGGAAGCAGATAATGAAGACGCAAGTGGAAAGCGAAGGAAAAAAGTTGTAATTATAAATTTCAATGTATATAACTGAAAAATTAACATACATATTTTTTCGTAGAGAGCGCTGTACACTGGTTATAAAATCAATAACATTCAAACAGGTGAAAGTGATATTCCCAATATAGCAGATGAATCTGAGCCAGATTTTATGGCCGTTTTGGACCAACTAAGTGATACTTCTTTCTCTTCACGAAATGTGTTTTTAACCGCTTTCAAATCGGATACAATTTCGAGAAGTACCGAAATTGCAGAAAAAAGACTTTTGGTTCTAGACGATATATTGAGAGATTTAGAATTATATTTTTTAAGATCTTTAGCATCATTAAAATTTGATGGGGTACGCAAATTAAGGCTTACAATAGGAAATTATAATCATATTGAAAAAACAATATTAAAATTTAGGAAATATATGCGTCTGCAGGAGTCATGCATCAAAAACATGAATGATCAATCTTCGCAAAAAGTAGATTCCGAACACAACACACTCGCAGATAGTTTAAAGTTGTTGCAATCATCAATAAAAAATGTATCCAACTATTACCTTACGTTTAGAACCTATCAAAGAGCTTTATTCAATGGAAGAATCATTTTACATTTATTTGACTTGGATGAATTGCAAAGTAATGATAGAATGAAATTATTTGAAAACCAAATGCATCATATGAGTAAAGCGTTTGATAGAATATTAAATTCGTATCGATCGTGTACCTTCCGTTGCACGAGTATCTGCGACCAGGTATTTAACGATTGCGATCTATTTTCAAATCAAATTCATAACAACATGAAACAATGTAATGAGAAAATGAGCAACTGGCAGGATTGTTTGAAAGAGATCGAAAACCGTAATGAAAAATTAAAGTTTGACAATTTTTCTTTACAATCCCGCATACATGATCTAGAAGAAATACTGGAGACCAAAGAGAAGCACTTCCATGATCAAGAGCAAACTTGGTTACGAAGAATTAATGAAATGTCATCTGCCATAATGTCAGCTCTGCAAGAAAACGAAGAACTAAGAAAATCGGCAGATGTTTCTAAAAAGAATATTGAAGAACTTAATGCAAATATAAATATAAAAGAGAATAATGTAGATTTAAAAGATCATTGTAAATCTCTTAAGAAGAAATTGAAAGATTTGAACAAAGAGAATGCTGACATAACAGCAACGATCAAAGAATATAAAGAAATGGTTGACACAATTAAATCGGAAAAGTATAGTTTAATGAGCGATAAAGATATTTTGGAAAAGAAAATAGAACTGTTAGAATCTCAAATAAAACAATTTGAATCCTCAGGCACTAATCGCCTAAATATAAATGGAATATATTTTAGATCAAATATATTTGCTAAAATAACAAATAGAATTAGCAAAAAACAGTCGGCTTGTGGTATAAGAAAAAAGATGAATATCTGCAGTACGGACAAACTCAGCTTTCATAAAGCCAAAATAACTATGAGTAACGCTAAAACTTCTAAAATTTCAAAATATTGCTCAAATGAGTCGCAGGAAAGAATTTCAACTAAATCATGTGTAAGTGTAAGTAATAAACATGAGCCATTTTCAAAAGTATTCAGGGAGGAAACAGATTCCAAGCTTATATTCCAACATTATGCGAACAAACATTTTGAGAATTGTAAAAGCGAATTTATGTTACAAAATACGATACGTGATGACAAAAATTATCAAACCAGTTTTAATAATGAAATATTAATAAAGCAATCGGTAGCTTGTTATACTGATGGCACATTAAAGCAAGTTGAATCAGATCAGAATACCAAGAAAAAACTTCGACTAGGCAGATCAAATTCTGACTTGTCTCATACATTTGCTAATGCCTTTGTTATGTTTGAAAATAATAGCGATAGAAATATGCCAGCAGACAAACCGAAATTAGCAGTATTATCAAACTCTAAAGATAACATATCTTTTACTTGTAAACATGTTAATTGCAAAAGTTTGTTCTACAAACTGCAAGAAGCTGAAAAGAAATTAGAAGAGAAAAATAGATCTTGTAATAAACTTAAATCTCTTATTACAAGTTTGAAAAGAAAATATCAATCAGAAAATCAGCGATATGTTTCATTGCAACAACGATATGAAAAGATATTGCAGGAAAAAGCGCTTTTGAGTTACCAATGCAAAAGCCAGTGTGAAGAATACGATTCTGAATGCGCAATTAAGTATATCGATTTTGATGGATTTATAGAAATGAAGAATTTTAAAGATGATATAATTGAAGAACTGAAAAATGAAATTAAAACTTTAGATGACGAATTTCAACATCTGCTTTCAAATTACGAGCAAGTCAATGGTACTATTTCTAATTACAATATTCAAATTAGAGCATCAACCGACAGTATTGCTAAAACTCAAACGGACAATATTAGATTACAAAATGAATTGTTTCAAGCAGAACGAGAACTAAGTCGCATTAGTGGCTTACTCAAAGTAAAGATAAGAGAGAACGATGAACTACAAAAACACTATGAGGAAATAGTGTGGCTTGCCAAAGATCATGAAATTAATTGCATTGAAAGTGATAGCCAAATTTTTGCATCTGATTACTACAACGTAGATCTTAGAAGTTTAATCTTAAATAATAGCATATTATGCAAAAAATTACTGATGATGTTAGATGAATCGAAAAATATCGACGACATTAATTCATATCAAAATTGCCTAGATAAAAGATCTGCACAGCATTTATCGGAACAAACTGATGAAACGATATCGGAACAATTATTGGAAGTAGATGAAGTACAAGGACAAGATCAAATAAATAACATTGTCGATTGTGTTCACACAAATAGAGACTATTTTGTGCCCGCTATGCAAATAAATGAATTAAATGGAGTTTTGGTCAAATTTAATGCCGGAATATCTGAACTCAAGAGTTACATGGGATCAAGAATGCATAAACATTCTGAAGGATACAAGAAAATGTTATTATATTTCATAATGTTCTGTATGAACCATTTCACATTGAAATCCAAAAATGCAGAACTTGTTGACAAAGTGAAAAAAATGGAGTCTCTATATAAAGCTCCAAAAATTAATATTTCAAAAGACATTGAAGCTTGCAAAAATGATCTAAAAGAACAAATTACGACTCTTACTTTAGAAATAAGAAAAATTGGCCATCGCTCGAATGGTATTTACCACAATGCAAACGTAAACAGCACAAACTCCAAGCTACAACGCGAAATAAACCAGTTAACGGAAACTAATAATAAACTTCGTGACGAAAACGAAAAATTACAGAATGATATGAAGAAATGGATTACCGAGATTGCTGAAGTGAAAAGTCTAGTGGACCAGAAGGAGGATGATATTTCAAAAGCAAAATGTGAACTCAAGGTATTACGAGACGAATTAGTGGATTGCCAAAAATTGTTGCAACAAACTCATGATCGCGATTTAGAGGAACAAAATAGAAAATTAGAAGATGCGAAAAGCAGTGAAACTGAGCTTGAAGACAAGTTATTAGCTGCTACTGATAATTATAACCGTTTAATCGATGATTATAAAGCGCTGAAGACACAAATTGATGAAAAATCTTTATTGGAAATAACACTACTACAGGTAACGATTATTTATTGTTGCTTACTGACATTCAATATAAAAAATAGATTTATTTGATATTCAATTAATAAATTAAGCTAATAATAACATATGTGATCAATTTTGTAAAGATCAGGAAACTATACTTTTTCTAACTTAATTCTGGACTTTATTTGTGCATTGCCCTATGTTATAGAAAATGATCAAAATGTTTCATTTAAACATTCAGTTTTCTCATTTAAACAAAACAAGTATGTATTCATTATAGGATAAGTTGCTCAAGTCGTACCACCTAAGGAAATAATACTGTAATATAATGCATTTAAATTAGAAAAAAATCTTTTGTTTATTCAATATATATTTAGGTGGCTTTTGATTAACAATCACTTTTTTTTATCAAAATAGGTAGCCTCAAATTTTCAAAAATGTGCTTTGGGTATGATTAATTGGCCTCTTCGCTTTAGTCATACAGCATATATATATATATATATATATATATATATATATATATATATGTTAAAGTAGTTAATTTTGATGTTGAGAAATATGAGTAAGTTCTTCAAGGGCATACATCAAATAAAAGGCAAAGATTTAGAAGTTAATCTTTAATTTTTCTAAACGTTTCGACATAGTATTTTATGTCATCATCAGTGGATATAAATATGGTCTTACATCAGTAGCTAGCGCAAGGAACACAATTTTGCACTATCATATATACATTAACTTGTTTTTTTTAATATTAATTTGTTGAACAGAGTATAGCAAAATATTTGTGAAATATTTCTCACAGCCTCGGGCTCTGTCACATAAACTACGTTCTCTGTGCAAAATATATTATATATTTCACAAATATTTTGCTATACTCTGTTCAACAAATTAATATTAAAAAAAACAAGTTAATGTATATATGATAGTGCAAAATTGTGTTCCTTGCGCTAGCTACTGATGTAAGACCATATTTATATCCACTGATGATGACATAAAATACTATGTCGAAACGTTTGGAAAAATTAAAGATTAACTTCTAAATCTTTGCCTTTTATTTGATGTATGCCCTTGAAGAACTTACTCATATATATATATATATATATATATATATATATATATATATATATATATATATATATATGCTGTACGACTAAGGCTATAGCCTCAAAAAAAGTCTTGTGGTACACATATAGCTTTAAAAAAAGCCTTTTATCTACTGAATTCAGTCTGGATTCAACTTTTCTTTATACTTCAAAGGAAATAAGCCAGTTGAGACATAATAATGAAGAATTGCGTAAACCGCGTTTTAATGGAGGCTCATGTAAAAATTGTGAAAATGAACGCAGTGCATTTGAAGATAAATTGCGCAAATTGTCATGTGAGGCTGAAGGAGCCTCAAATCTGGTAGTCGAGATAAGGCGATCTTCTAAAGAAGAATTGGTACAAACGAAAAATCAACATGCAGAAGAAATGCGGCGTCTACAGCTAGAAAATGATGCTTTATGTGAATGTAACAAAGCCCTTCGCTCTCAATTGGGAAGGTACGAGATAAACTATTCAAATGACATACTTTTATATAAAAAATATAAAAACTTTGGTCTTACAATTTTTATGTTTTCGTAGACTCGAAGCGGATAACATGTTGTTAGCTAAGAGTATAGAAACCAGAAATCGCAAAAGTAGGCCTCGTGATCTCAAAAATGACAGCGGGCAAAATAGTAATGATGGAATTCGCAAAAGTAAAATTTGTAGAAAAAACAACTAATAATATACCTAAGAATCAAATCTAGGAATCGTTGTTTTTAATTATCATTAAGATAAAATAATAAGGATTAAACAAAACGCCAAACGAATTGGTTATGGCAAACCGGTTAAATTGTACAATGCAACTGCTGCGGAAAAGTGTAGAACAAGTGAAACTGTATTTTTTCACTGTATTTTACTGTATTTTCGAAACGAATTAAGTCCTACGCAGTACAGTATCAATATCATACCACTGTAATAAAATAATTATTTTATTGCAGCAAATTGTGGCACTATATTTATGAAACTTTTATTGACTATCAATAATCTAAATTTAAATGTGCAATGACTATCCAATAGATATTTTTCTAACATCGGTTAAAGATTTCTTGTGACAAAAAATTTGAACTTTTCTGCAAATTCTAAAGAAATGGCTGTATCGATCACCTTGTAAAACCAATCAACGCTACCCCTAGCCATGTTCAATAAATGAGAAAAAGTTAAAAATTAAATTATTAAATTAAATTATGAATTCGAATTTTTTGGGAAATTAATTTCCCAGAGGGTTAATTAGCCCTCTTCGGAAAGTTAAAAATACAATTCCAGTAAACGTGAACGATCAGTGATTCGACTGCAGACACCAGGCGCTATTTTTATTAAAAGTTATCTGAGTAACGACTTTTCAACAGAATTATAAAATCTAAAAAGATCCCTTCTTTTTTATTAATACAAATGCGTTAAATTAGAATCATTATTATCAAATTTTAATATTACTAATATTACTTAAGAATGGTATATCAGTGCTGTAGGCACAGTCAGGGGCCTAGACGATATAATAATCGATTATTATATATAATTTCGGTATTGAAACTGATCAGGGTTTGATAAAAAATAAAAGTTACAACAGGGTAGAATGAGATATACAAAATTTCGGTTTTGAAACCGATCAGAGTTTGATAAAAAATAAAAGTTACAACAGGGTAGAATGAGATATACAAAATTTCAGTATTGAAACCGATCAGGGTTTGATAAAAAATAAAAGTTACAACAGGGTAGAATGAGATATACAAAATTTCGGTATTGAAACCGATCAGGGTTTGATTAAAAATAAAAGTTACAACAGGGTAGAATGAGATATACAAAATTTCGGTATTGAAACCGATCAGGGTTTGATACAACAGGGTAGAATGAGATATACAAAATTTCAGTACTGAAACCGATCAGGGTTTGATAAAAAATAAAAGTTACAACAGGGTAGAATGAGATATACAAAATTTCGGTATTGAAACCGATCAGGGTTTGATACAACAGGGTAGAATGAGATATACAAAATTTTGGTATTGAAACCGATCAGGGTTTGATACAACAGGGTAGAATGAGATATACAAAATTTCAGTATCGAAACCGATCAGGGTTTGATAAAAAATAAAAGTTACAACAGGGTAGAATGAGATATACAAAATTTCGGTATTGAAACCGATCAGGGTTTGATTAAAAATAAAAGTTACAACAGGGTAGAATGAGATATACAAAATTTTGGTATCTAAACCGATCAGGGTTTGATAAAAAATAAAAGTTACAACAGGGTAGAATGAGATATACAAAATTTCGGTATCTAAACCGATCAGGGTTTGATAAAAAATAAAAGTTACAACAGAGTAGAATGACATATACAAAATTTCGGTATTGGAACCGATCAGGGTTTGATACAACAGGGTAGAATGAGATATACAAAATTTCAGTATTAAAACTGATCTGGGTTTGATAAAAAATAAAAGTTACAACAGGGTAGAATGAGATATACAAAATGTCGGTATTGAATCCAATCAGGGTTCGATTAAAAATAAAAGTTACAACAGGGTAGAATGAGATATACAAAATTTCGGTATTGAAACCGATCAGGGTTTGATACAACAGGGTAGAATGAGATATACAAAATTTCAGTATTGAAACCGATCAGAGTTTGATAAAAAATAAAAGTTACAACAGGGTAGAATGAGATATACAAAATTTCGGTGTCTAAACCGATTAGGGTTTGATAAAAAATAAAAGGTACAACAGGGTAGAATGAGATATACAAAATTTCGGTATCTAAACCGATCAGGGTTTGATAAAAATAAAAGTTACAACAGGGTAGAATGAGATATACAAAATTTCGGTATTGAAACCGATCAGGGTGTGATAAAAAACAAAAGTTACAACAGGGTAGAATGAGATATACAAAATGTCGGTATTGAAACCGATCAGGGTTTGATTAAAAAATAAAAGTTACAACAGGGTAGAATGAGATATACAAAATTTCGGGTCTAAACCGATCAGGGTTTGATAAAAAATAAAAGTTACAACAGGTAGAATGAGATATACAAAATTTCGGTGTCTAAACCGATCAGGGTTTGATAAAAATAAAAGTTACAACAGGGTAGAATGAGATATACAAAATTTCGGTATTGAAACCGATCAGGGTTTGATAAAAAATAAAAGTTACAACAGGGTAGAATGAGATATACAAAATTTCGGTATTGAAACCGATCAGGGTTTGATAAAAAATAAAAGTTACAACAGGGTAGAATGAGATATACAAAATTTCGGTATCTAAACCGATCAGGGTTTGATAAAAAATAAAAGTTACAACAGGGTAGAATGAGATATACAAAATTTCGGTATTGAAACCGATCAGGGTTTGATAAAAATAAAAGTTACAACAGGGTAGAATGAGATATACAAAATTTCGGTATTGAAACCGATCAGGGTTTGATAAAAAATAAAAGTTACAACAGGGTAGAATGAGATATACAAAATTTCGGTATTGAAACCGATCAGGGTTTGATAAAAATAAAAGTTACAACAGGGTAGAATGAGATATACAAAATTTCGGTATTGAAACCGATCAGGGTTGATACAACAGGGTAGAATGAGATATACAAAATTTCGGTATTGAAACCGATCAGGGTTTGATAAAAATAAAAGTTACAACAGGGTAGAATGAGATATACAAAATTTCGGTATCTAAACCGATCAGGGTTTGATAAAAAATAAAAGTTACAACAGGGTAGAATGAGATACAAAATTTCGGTATTGAAACCGATCAGGGTTTGATAAAAAAATAAAAGTTACAACAGAGTAGAATGAGATATACAAAATTTCGGTATTGAAACCGATCAGGGTTGATACAACAGGGTAGAATGAGATATACAAAATTTCGGTATTGAAACCGATCAGGGTTTGATAAAAAATAAAAGTTACAACAGGGTAGAATGAGATATACAAAATTTCGGTATCTAAACCGATCAGGGTTTGATAAAAAATAAAAGTTACAACAGGGTAGAATGAGATATACAAAATTTCGGTATTGAAACCGATCAGGGTTTGATAAAAAATAAAAGTTAAAACAGGGTAGAATGAGATATACAAAATTTCGGTATCTAAACCGATCAGGGTTTGATAAAAATAAAAGTTACAGCAGGGTAGAATGAGATATACAAAATTTCGGTATTGAAACCGATCAGGGTTTGATAAAAAATAAAAGTTACAACAGGGTAGAATGAAATATACAAAATTTCGGTGTCTAAACCGATCAGGGTGTGATAAAAAGTAAAAGGTAGTCTTGATCATTAAAAATTCTAATTGGAAAAAATTCTAGTAAAAAATCTCGTATCGATGGTGACAAGCAAGTGATAAAAATAGTGCAGAAATAAAAAATGCTAAAAAAATGTTGCGCAAATAAAAGAAATTAAATGAAAAACAAAGCCACTAACCTTTTGAAGATCTATCAGCAACGACGACAAATTTAAATACATATAAATAGGATATTTCGAGCAAATAAATAATAATATAACATAAATAAATCATCAATCAATTATAATATATGAAATGAACACATTGCTTATCACCGCATCCGCATAAATATCATCATGGGCTATGAAAATTATTTATTTTTTTAAGTAAAAAAAATAATATAATTCCCATAAGTTGAAAATAAAAGAAATCCTACCTTTGCAGCATCTTCGCCCATTTATCTCTCTGCAATATTATAAATATCTGCAAATTCTGCATCTGCAACTCTCTGCAAAATGAAGTGATGTGGGCTCGAAGTGATAAGATCATATCAAAATCTGAAAATAATGAAAAATATAACGATAGATTTGTTTCAAAAGGTTTAAAAATAACTATTAATTAATTCAATAGAATTTTATATTATTTTTAAGTCATATACAATAATAAGTCTATGATGGAATTATGTCATATTTTAATAAAATATATTTAAAAATAATATGAAATAATTCCATTACATATTTATTATTTTATATAACTTGAAATTAATGTAAAAAAATAATAAAGGTGTATAATTATTGAATAAATAATAATTGTAAATATTTAAATATAAAGCAGAAGTACTGGTTTGAACATAAACTAAAGTCAGCAACGGACGCCATCTTGTTTTGCAAAACGCCGCTAGATGGCTTGTCAATAGTTTGCGAAAAAGTTGCAAATAATAAATAATAACAATATGCAATTTGATGAAAATGAATTCAATTTGTTAAATGAAAATGATTTATATTGGAATTATCGTAGAAAATACGATTGTAATGTTAAAAAAGCGATTCAAACTTTGGTCAATTGACAGCTGAGACGCCGTCAGGACCGAAGAATTTGTCGTTGCTTTTTTGAATAAAAAAAAACTTTACAGACACAGTTTTTGAACGTAAATGAATTTATTGCATCAAAGTTTATTGAATTATCATCAATAATATTTTGGTTGGTTGTGCAAACGGTTATATTGCTTAAATCAGGCAAAAACCACCGGTTGTTGTTATGGCCGCCATCTTGGATTTTTGAAAAGCAATAAAATTTAAATTGCAAAAAACCGCAAAAATTACAATAAATATTGGGGAAAAGTGCAATAATATTAAACAATATGTATTAAATTTATCATAAATCAACGATTAAGCACGCCTAAAACATTTTTACAGATGTAAACACTGTTTACATATCTGTACCAAACGGCGTCAGTTGTTGTGCTAATAACTGTCAATAATATTATGGCCGCCATCTTGAATTTTTTAAAAACAACAAAATTTAAATTGCAAAAAATCGTAAAAATTTCAATAAATATTGAGTAAAGGTGCCATAATATTAAATAATATGTAGTAAATTTATAATAACTCAACAATTAAGCACGCCTAAGACATTTTTACAGGTGTAAAGACTGTTTACATATCTGTACCAAACGGCGTCAATTGTTGTGCTAATAAAACTTAATAATTGTACAAAATAATGAAAAGTAAAAGCTCTTACCTTTTATAAGTATATACTGCATACCGGAACACACTTAAAAAACACTACTTGGTTTCAAAATAATAATATTTACTATTCACTTTGATCAGTTGCACTGCACCACTGCGCGAGATGTTTACTGTTCGAGAGCTGATGCGCTAATGAGCCGCCCGCTAATTAGCACCCCTTTATATAGGCAGGTTGGAGGGTACTCGCGTAGTCGCTCCCGCGACTGAAAGAGCCCCTGAGAGTAATCGGAACCCCGGTCTCAAATTTATTAATTATTAGGACTAAAATCAAATTTTATGGCAAAAACATATTAAAAACTAGTTAAAACATAATTACACACAATAATTAAGCACTATTCGCTGGTAATTAAACATTCGTTGGGTAATTAAACATTACAGCGCGGCCAGTTGTATGAATTCAAAGGATCAAAATAATAACAAACAATTCGAAATAAATTCGTTAAAACCGCACAAGTACAATTGATTAAAAACATTATGTCTGTCACAAAAAGTTTGTTTAAAACTTTTGTAAATCAAATTCTACGCATTTTTTTCGCAAATTTGAGTTTATATAAATATAAAACCACAAAATTTTTGTTATTCTTTCAGTTTGAAACGTCAAAATTAAATTTATCTTATCTGAAAGCTGTGAAGATAGCCAAAATAGTAAGTGTGGAAAACATAAAGATAAATAAACTTATATGGATCGTTCGGATCGTTCGTCATTGTTCGTTTGTATCAAAATCGCAGGTATTTCAATAAATACATTAGGATATAATAAATACCGATTCCCAGACAGCACAATCGGGGGAGCCAGGGCTAGTGACCAGGGCGCCAAAATTTGGAAATTAAAAATATATATTTATATATCAATACATAGAACAAGTAAGTATATACAACATTACAAATGAAATACGCGATAAATTTCTGCGATCGAATAGTATTTTAATTAGAAAAATGATACATTAAAAATGGGACTATATGATTAATCGAAAAACGGGTCAAACTCGGTCATTATTAATTAAGGTGACCATATTTTTTTAAGTCAAAACCGGGACGGGAAATTTTAGTTATGCTAATCTGGTATTGTAATAGTTTTTTATATAAATAATTTTTTTTAAATCAAATTTGCGGACTCTCAGTAAGTACTTTATTATTCGATTATATGTCACACTCATAGATAAATAAGCCTTTATCTATGATATTTACT